TAATAAATTTTACTTACTTGTTGATCTAAATGTGGTACATGAACATTTTGGGCTCAATCATAACTATAATGAGCAGTAGCATCAATACTGCAATATTGTGTTTTATTCTTTGAATAATTTTGGTTAACTAATTTTCTTTGTTGTTCTGCTAATTTGGTATTTTTATTATAATAATTTCTTTCTACTTTGGCCTTGGATAAATGTTCTTTAAATCTTTTGAGTAAATCTCCATCTTGGTGAACATTATAATGTAAATCATCTCTAAAATGCTGACAAGTATCACACAAGTCAGTCCTGGGACTCATAATTTGAATTTCTGGTGTCAATTGATGTCATAATTTTCTGAAAGCATCATACTTCAAAGATTTCAAATTATTATCTTCTTCTAAACCATCTAGAAAATCTCTGTGCACAGATTTATAGCTCATTTCAGCTGGTAAGAATACAATTGATTGAGTTATTCTATTAATACTTCTTCCTGGACTTGGTAATCCATGGACTTCTGCATAATTTTCCAGAAAACTCTTTACTAATTCTGCAACATCTTTGTCAATCACCATTTTAGTTTTCCATTGAGGCATTCTTTTAATATTACCATGAATTCTTGGTAGAAGACCATTGTTTATTAGATGATTTCTAATGTTTTCAAAATACGTTCTGCCAATTCCCAACATATTGAGATAAGTTTCTTGACAAAGCAGTGTATTGTGATCTCAATGATAGAAAGTTCTTTTATTTGACCTATTTTTCTTTTTAAGGCGTCTGCTAGTGTTTATTGATCCACCATCCATTGCTTTAATCTGTGCCATTAAAAATATGTCTTGTTCAGACTTGGAAAGGGCTTGAAAAGATTCCCTTAATTCTGCGAATTCTTCCTTGGGAATTCTTGAAGAGCAACCACATTTACAACCTTTTTCTAAAAAATCAATTGCTTTTTTATATTCATTAGAACCATTGTATTCATTATTACTTTCCATATACCTATAACCCTATATATATAATTTTATGTTCACTTTGTAGGTTTTCATTTATTTTAAAATTGAAGGAAAGTATATGAATGGAATGGAATTAAACTTAGATGAACCAATGGAATAGTTTTAGGTAAATTATTTAAAAGATATGATTGTTCAGTAACTTGTGAAGAGAAATTGGAAAATTTGGTCAACCTCCCATGAAAAATAATTATGGCCTAGATTTAAATTGGCTTATCATCATCAATAATCAAAATGGGAAAGACAACTTAAAAAGCAAGCAATAAATGAATATTTGTAATATTTTACTTCATCAATAACAAGTTAATAAAAAATTGATTGCCTTTACCAATGAATTTTTCCACACATTGTTGATCATAAACATACATAGAAAATATTATTATTGTAACAATTATACTAATTTTTGAAAACCTAAGTTACAAATTAATTTGATATAATGATTATTACATTAAGGTAAATAACTTGATTTGTAAATGCTACCTACAAGAGCAAAAGAAAGATGTGATTCTAAATTAACACAAAAAAATTTAAATTGCATACAAACCTACCCCTTCAATAAGATTACAAAAGTGTACCATGTATTCAAATAATTGCTTGATTGGCCTTGAACATGTAATGGTGTGAATGGTCCAGTCTTGGATTTCCATACAATCACTCTTGCAATTTTTTACTTATATTTTTTTCAATCTAATTATATAATTATGTATCTTGGTTAAAATAAAAAATAAATAAATAAACATGATATTGCTATTTAATACTTTCCTCATGTGTGAATTCCTTTGTACCCACATTCATCACCATGTTTGATATCATCATTGACATAACAAACAATTGCATTACCCAGGTAGTAATGATACCAAGGCCATGCAGAAATAAAATTTTAATATGTCTCCCAGATCAAAAAAAGAAAATATTTTTCCCAATTATCAATTATGGTTCCTTATGAATAATAAATCTGATGTTGATCACAGGCGTCAGATTTAATTAAAATTTCCTATCACAAACATGCAAGCGTCTGTGCAATTAAGCAACGCCTTCATACTTGTGGAATTTTTACAAGTGAGGGCAATTGAACATGCTGGAAGGCTTTGGTCAAAACTTTTCCTTATCTTCCTCTCAGATCAGGCTTGGCTGTCACCATATTGGCATTGATTGCTGATAGCTGGTGCTTGTGTGATGATTACTGCATGTTATTGCCACACTAGCATAAAAGTTGGCACCAGCAACTCAGGAGGTTGCAACCTGGATTGCTGTTTTGGTTTTTCCCTGAATTCAGAGTTTTGAGTCTTGGGTTGCTGTCTTGTTGGTGGCACACCTACTCACCAACAACCCTACCCCCATTTACTAAAATAATAAGTTCAGTTGGTCAAACAAAAATTAAAGAAAAACAGAGTGTTTGGGAAAATGTTTAATTTATACATACCAAACAAAATCTGAACCATTTTTATGACTTTTTTTCTTGTTGGCCATATTGCTGACAAGGATGTATATAATCATGCGATAATTTAACCTACAAGACAGGGAACTGATTGGACAAAATTATAAATTGGTTAGTATCAGAGAAACAAAGCATTTAGGAAAATGATTATATAAAACAAACACTATTTTACAACTTTCCTCTTAACATCAGAGCCCAAATGCAATTTCAGGGCCACCAACCCTGCTCTGAATTGTGACATCCTGTGCTTGGAACGAGCTGCAGATTCTCTTAATATTCCTCCAGAGTTGCAGCGACTTGGTCACAGAGCCATCCTTACCCAGAGGTAGGATCGTTGCAGATGACTTTTCGGCCAGCATTCCAACAGCTTTCTCTGGTCTGGGAAGATTATTGAAAACATCATTGACGATTGATGCAATCTTGATAAACTCCAGGGCCACGTTGCCCCCCCCTGGAGTTCTGTTGCATCATTGTATCATCGGGGGCATCTTGGTCAGATTAGCCTTGTGTACATGAGGAAGATGTGTGAGAATGACTGTAAGTGTTCAAGTAGCATATGTGCTTCAACGCTTCTCAATTTCCGATAATCAAAAAGTTACATAACGAATTGTTTCTTTTTCAACAGTAATGTCGCTTTGACGTCTTCTTGTAATTATAATAATATAATAATATTATTAATATTATTGATTACGCAAAGCAAAATGCCAATCGTTTGTTGTTGATAAGGATCTTATTATTGATTACGAAAAGTAAAATATTATCAATGAAAATCTTGTAATTACCCCTAGCAAGATCTGCTCCATGTTTTGATTTCCAATTAAAATATTTATATAAAATAAAAGACACCACATTATATCAATACAAATAAAAAATAGTACCTCTGGTTAGTTATTAACACATTTTCTTTAGGAGACCCAACCCAAACCAAACCAAACAACAACACTCACGTTTTGTCACCTTGGACTCTGTCAAAAAATAAATTGTTTTTTTGTTTTTCCAAAAAAAAAAAACCAATTCGCGTCAACAAAAAAAAACCTGTGCAACACCAAGTGCCAACAATAAATAATTAATGTGTACGCGTCGATCAAATCACAAACTTCTTTTATTCTTTTGTTTAAAGATGCCGAAAGACGTAAAAGCAAGAAGTGGAAGAAGAAGAGGCAATAACAAAGGAGAAGCGAAAGTTCAAGTGTTTATCGGTGGTGGTGGCTATCGCCACTTGACGTCACTCTAGTTAAGTGTGAATTATAAAGATTCGATCAGAAGAAAACAATCCTCACCATTTGCCAGTTTACCACTGGATATCTTTTTCCAAGTATGTGAAGACTTACCATCATCTGATCTACTGGTAGTCTCGTTGACATGTTGTCGATTACACGCTATTTTGATTAATCCTTGCAACACAACACAAATAACTTGGAAAAAACCGAGACTAAATTTTCACAACCTCCACCAACATAGAACAAACCAAGGTACATTCAATTTTTCAGAAGATACTACGTTACATATGCAAAAGGTAATTTTTAATTTAATTAGTTGATCGAATAATCAGATTTATTCATTTATCTGCATTTATTTATTTAACTATTTCAGAAAAGAAAGTAAAGAAAGGCTTGATGATCAAACAAAATTTATGGATGAATGTATGAGAATGCATATTGTATATGGAAAAATCATCAAAAAACTGAATGATCTCTTTGATAATATTTGTCGGGAGAGGGAATTTGCATTAGGATTAATTATTATTTTTCCAACCAATTTCACTTTAAAGACTATTGCCGTAATCCAAAAAAGGAAAAATTATGGTTGCAAAAGTGGTCGCAAAGGTAATTGCAACCACTTTTTATATGCCGTAAATACAATTACTATCATCATCATAATTTACGGCACTAGTCTTTATTTCACTTCATACAAGAGAGCAACTTTCCATTTTGCTGAGGTTGATGAAGAACCACCAAAAGAGTACTGGGAAAGATTAAAACATCAATTTCACTATGAAGCGGAAAAACCATATCGATAGCAGTTTATCTTGGAACACTTGTTAAAAAAATAGCCTTGTGTTGGATCCAAGAAACAAGTTGCTGGAACTTCTCTTGAAGCAATAAATAATCCTCTTAGATACTCTCAAGTTAATCTCTACACGATTCTTCAACACTGTCATAGTTATAAAGATCCACCACTATATCGAGGTAACCCTTACACCATTTACAATGAGAGATATCTTGAAGAGCATGTAGTACTGGAATTAGTAAAAGAGGCAAAAAAACTTGATCCTTATTTCCCAAAGGAAAAATTATTACAATCAAATCTGCAATTACTATGGGTGTCAAAGCATCAATTTTTAGATGCATCTTGCTAAATTGCAAAGGGGAGGAGCCTATTTGTCTTTATTCACCAAAAGGTACAGAGCATCATCTTAATACCAAACATGCTTCATTTTTCAAACAAGTAGCAGAACATGACAAGGTCCAAGTTTATATAGAAAAATCTACAGATTTGTTTGCAAAAAAGTCGGAAATTACTCTTGTAAAGAAATTTTTTATAATTTTTATCACTAAAAATTCATCAAATAAATTTTCAAACAAAGCTTTTGCTTTTTTAAATCATTTTCTAACTGAATCTGGCAATTAGCTGTTGAGTAATTTGCTTTTAAAATTCACAATATGGTTG